TTATTCAAATCTAATACTATTTTAGCCATTTTGGAATTATTTCAAGCAGATGACTCAACAAGAGTTAACCAATATCAGATTAATACAGATAGCATCTAGTCCAAGGTCTACCACAGCTATTATTAAAAAGGCTGTGCCTTTTATGTATAATTAAACTTATGGAAACCTTTTTTGGTCTGCAAATAAATATATAATTTCCTGGCAATGGCTTTCAAACCGCAATTAACATTCTCTCCAGGAAAAGCTAATGAAGTCTGCCAAAATAAAATACAGGTTAAATGCTCTATAAGACAAAATTATAGACAGCAAAATGAGATCTATTTATACCCACTTTAAAAAAAATCCCACTAAAATCATTCATTCAATATAAAACTATGAATTGTGTGTGTACGTTGCTTCTACCAAAAAACTTTCTACGCATATCAAAATGCACATTGAAACGGTGTATGATGAAAATTCATGCTGGGTAAGCGAACAGACCCCACGATATAAAAGTGACTTTTGCACCAAGCCTATACATCTGAACCAAGTTTGCACATTTAAGAAGAAAACAGCAAACATACAGTTTCTATCAAGCTCCTTAGGAAGGCTAGATTCCTGAGCTATCGTTTGCATTCATCAGCATGCATTTCTCTATAATGGAATTGCACCCAAGATGCTGTACTGCTTGAGATAATACAGTTATTTACCATAGCTGGGCTCTGACAGCACTGTTAAATGGCTTCTTCCCAACAAGATAAATGCTGAGCTGAATTGCATAATTTAGAATAAAATATTCTTTCTTCTAGGATAGTAGGTCAGATCCAATGGAAGAAGAGATTATGACTTCTACCCACTGAAAGACTGAACAGGGCAAATCTGACAGTCCTTTTTATATATACTGAGTTTGACTGGACAGACTGAGAATCAGTCCCTTGTATTCCTTCAGGTTTTAATCTTAAAATGTTTCTTTATATATAGTGACTGGTTTTTAGAGGCCACCAGCACTGTAGCTGGTGTCTTTGATGCAATTTAACTTGGTGGAAGGTATCATAAAACAGGTCAGGCTGAATGTGTCTATGGAGTGATGGTCTCTGAGAATAAAGAACTTCTCAGATTTAATGAATGTCTTCTTAACGCTCTTCACAGTAGGGGTGAAAAACATCAAACAAGGAGGGCCTGACTATTTCTTGCCAGTTCAATCAATGTGTGTGACACCAGTATTTAGTATTAGTATTAGTAGCGCCACAACTGAATGACCTATTAAATGAAAACTCACTGACCTCTGATTTGTAGAAAAATGAGCTATTGTAACTCCAAATTATTTTGTCTTTCTCAGTGCTAGATCAGGTTAATGGAATTGGGAGTACAACAGGCATGCGAGAAGTGTTTTACTGCAATCTGACATCAGAGCTGGAGAATTCAAATGCTTGCAGATGGCTCTTGAGATTTAATGACAATAAATGGCTATTTAGCCAATGCTCTCTGAGACCAGATTCTGGAAGGGAGCTCACAGAAGGTTTGGTAAAAATTGGTCCTGCCTTCCCCATAGAATAGTTCTCAAGAATGGGAGAAACTGCATTTGGCACAGTTTTCATTTTGCAAAGGTGACCATTTGGTTGCAGAGATAGCATTTTTGGGGGGGCAATTTTAGGTGGGCCTAAACACTTCACTTTTCTGTAGCATCCTGTGAGGTCAGAGAGAAAGAGATACCTTTGTGACTTACAGCTGTTAGTTGGGTGAATGGGTCAACAGACTGTCCTCTTATATAACCACTGTTAGTAAAGTGAGCTAAATGTTAGTTGATTGCCTTATGGGTGTCTGAGGAGTATCAGGAAAGCCACAGCCATCTCCTCAACCGAGACTCTAGAAAAGCAAGATACCCTGAAACTATTAATGTTGGTTCATGAAGTGGCAGGCTGGGCTGGATTAGATTGGCTACCAGCAGAACC